TTACCATCAGTTATATCATGTTTAGTCTCATAGCAAAATGTTAGGAGACTAACAAGACGATCATGGGTTGGTTTTCATTGTGCATGGTCACTTTGTCTTTGGAAAACTGAGAAGAGTGGCTACTCCTGACATGGAGAGATGAGTGGTTTGAGCAACATGATGGAACTATTGAGAAGATTTGGGAAGGAGAGGCAGTGGGGAAGCAAAAGACTCAATCCTGTGCATTAGTGTGTGATGTTCAGTCATCATGCAGAGAAGCAAGTCTCTCTAACATCTGAGACCAGAGAATCTTGTTTGGGAAGAAAATATTATTAACTTGTTCTGTGCCTTTGTGAGACATGCTTTATATAATGTACATAGAGAACAGTTCTTGACTCTTCTACTGATATTAAGAGGCTGGATGAAGGGAACCAGGACTCATGGGTCAGAAGCCTAGTACAGCTCCAGTGGGGATGGAGCTGCAAGTTGAGACCTTTAATAGATTTTTCTCTCTCTGACATCAGGAGAGTGGTGCATAGCTATGAAGTAGGCATAGCAGTTGCATAATTTCTTTTTCTTTACTCCTTTAATGGGAACCTGTGGGAAAGTCATGGGCTTTGTAGAATATGAAGGTAACTGCTGAGAAACTGGCCTTAATTTTCTTAAGGGTTGGAAATCAACAGTGGTAGCTGGAGAGAAAGGCGTCGCCTTACCTCCCTTCTCATCAAAACTTCTGTGGGGTTATTTCAGGTGTAATTTATGAAAAGCTGTGCAGTAGGTACCTCTCCAGTGAACCTCTACTAGGTTCCATCCCACTATTTGACAAGTAGTGTGGTAAAGCATCTCTCCATACAAGGTCAGATTAATCTTTTTTTTATGGAGTTTTACATGAATGCTTTGCATTGGGATTGTTGTTTCTCCATGCATAAATCTTTATTATACCAATAGCCTGCAGCCCCAGTGAACCAAAGCAAAACTCATTTTTATTCTTCTTAGTATTTGTCACCACAGTGGGAGAACTCATTTGAAAAGGAGCTGTGAGTTTCCAGCAGGCATGGTGGGGATTTAGGTGCTGTGAGCCTTCAGTGGTCTTATGCTTCTCACTTTAAAATTTGAATGGGATATGCCAAGCTGGTTCTGGCCACAGATGGGGCATCATTCCCTTTGGGATGAAACTGAGGATGGAACTGAAAGTGAACTTTTGTTAAAGTGCTATGGGAATAGAGGAGCAGGTTGTCCATGCATCCGTGCATGCACTTTACTCTGGTGGTCAGAAGATGTGCTGAGGTGTGCAGGCTATGCTTTACAGCCAGATTGGTCTGAAGCCTCAATTTTTACTTTCTGACAAGTTTGTTTGGGTTCAGGTAGGATTCTTTTTTAGAGGGGGATGATAAATGTGCTGACATGTAAGTGCTTGTAGCTTTTACCAGGTGGTGAATTTGAACCCTCCACCTTAAAGTTGACCTCACCTAATTTACCTTTGCAATAAAACATACAGTGTGTGTTTCCACTGTGCACACAGTGGGATTACTAAAATGTGTTAGTTACGTGTGATATAATGGTGTACCTTCTGTCGATGACTGCAAATAGTAAGAAAGATAAAACTAGAGATTTTATTTGAAAACAAAAATATTTCCCTATGGAGAAAAAGCATAATCCTACTTATCAAGGTTTGGACTTCCTGAGCAGTACACATTAATTTTGGCTCACTGTATGACTTCTAAACTCTGCAGTGCATGAAACCAAATTCCCACCAGTAATAGCTTGGAGGAACCTCTGAACCTGTGTAGGGAAGGACTTAGACATGCTTCATAACCATCACTGAGAGGACTTTTATTCTGAGATTTCCTAAATTTTGAGTGCTTGACTTCAATATTTTATCATCTTTTATGATGGCAACATCACACCTATTTCTCTAGTATGAACTGAAGAAGGCAGGATCACCATCATGGTCTGGCTCGAAGATCCACCCCAGCACCTTCTGCTGCTGGTCACAGTGGCACAGCAGGCAACAGGAGCTGCCTGCTCCAGTCCCAAGCTGGGGGTTTTAGCAGAGTTGTATGACTTGGTGTTGCAGGGGAAAACTCAAGTAATGAAATTTTAACTTATTTTATTGCAAATTGTGATAAACTTTTAATTACCGATTCTGGTATTGAGAAACAATCATACTTACACGCATGAGAAAACACCTCAACTTCCCTCCAGACACCTTTCCTCCGCCCTTACCAGTCTTCATTCCCCACCCATTATCCTCAGCCGTGGGGATCAGTGCAGCATGCTTTCCTTTTTTTGCCACGCTGTTTGTTGCTCTTGTTTTTCCATGGCTCCAGCTCAGGATTCTCCCAGGCACCGCCTCCCAAGGGTGTAGCTCCTCCTGGCTTTCCATGTGTGTCCCCTGGCGCTGCTCAGGCCTTGCCTTTACCTCTGATGTCCCCTGCCGCAATCGGCTGCTGCCAGTAGGTCCAGTTTCTCTAAAGCTGGTAGCCAGATTGTATCCTATACCAAACCATTCCCCATGTGCTGTTAAAAATGCCCTTCCTCAGGCTCTCCTTTCTCCTGCAGTCCTTTCCTGGCTTCATTTGTATTGTCTCCATGCTGGTGAGTGCAGAGAAGGGAGGAAAAGGTTTCTTGAGAGTACAGGAAAAACAAGTCCCTGAATTTTACTCTGACTCTTTGCCATACCCACTGTTCCTGGTCATGTCCTGTGAAGCGGGACTGGAAGCCATCGGCTCTGAGGGGACACCAGAAGGGCATTGCAGGTGCGTGTGGGCACCACAGGAGTGGGGAAGATGCTTTGTGGGATGGTTTGTGAGTTGTCTGGTCACACGTGAGCTGTGGGAAGGATGTGAGTAGGCTTTTTGTGGTTGTAGACTTTGAAGGTTTTAGCTGCTGAGCCCTCTCATCTCTACTGGATGTGTGAAATGCAGTTTTTTGAAGGTTAATAATTTTCCCACAAAAATCCGCTTGTAGTTGGGTAAGAGAAAAGACATGTGCCTGAAATGGAGCCAAACTTTGTTTCAGGTCCTTGCTCTAAACACCGGCATGTGAGAGGATTTCAAATTAAGCCACCAGAAATTTAACCTGGGTGAAATAACATACTTTGCCCTGCTTCATTCTTAGAAGTAATTGAAGTGTTGTTTTTGAAGTTCTGCCAAAAGCTTTCATTTTTGAGACAGAAACAAGCTCAGAATGTATAAGCATAGACAATTAAGGTTTGGCTAAATTATAAACTGATGAAATTGGGGTCCTGTGGTAGGAAGTGCTGATCACGGTTTATAATGGGTATGAGTCCTTTCTTTGTTCTAGAAATGGCTTAATGTAATCCAGGGAGACTGTGGTAGTCACATGCACGTTTTGATAAAGCCTTGCTTTATGGATGAGCAAAAAAGTGCCCCACAGCCAAATTAAATATAGCAAAGTGTCTGTGCATCTTTGCAGAGTGATAGATATCCTTGGTCTTGTTTCAATTAATGCTGTGCAGCAGGCTAAAGTCATAAATGTAAAAAATAAGCAAGTTGCACCAAGGCTGGTTTGCAGAGCCATACAGAAGGTCAGTGTTGGATTGTAATGGTATGGAAATCAGCTTGGATCACAAGCATGAATGAGTTCTGTGATTCAAAACTGGGCAGTAATAGGATCCAGTATTAGGGTCAGGCAGGTGTGAAGATACTGGTGATGAAGATTTGAAAACAAATTTTAATTTAAGACTCACAGGGCAAAATGCAATGACTTCTGTAGACAGTGTAATTGTACTAGTGGAGAAAGGTATTTTCCCCTTCTTGACCTTTTACCCTCCATTCGATCACAGAAATCCATGGGTTCAAAGGTTTGATTTTGACTTACCAAGCAGTGAAGAAGCTCTGATAAGGCTTTGTATCTATTAAACTTTCATAGGTTTGCAGCTCTGTGGTTGGAGCTAAAGAGATGGTAACTGGTTTTTTTCTCCTGGGGATGGGATTTCAATTAAGTCAGTGTTGCTCCATATTAGAATTCCAGCCTTGCAGGCTGCTAAGTGTATGGAGTTTGTGTTATAGGGAGCAGGACCTTTGCATGAGCCTAAAAAGTTTCCAAAATTACTCTCTCTCCTTGGGAGATCTTTGCAAAACTCAGTCTCATTTAATGGTCTGATAGTGCTTGTTCTAAATTCTGTGCAACCGCTGTGTTGGTGCTACTTCAGGTCTGTGCTGCAGACCCATCCAGCATCTTAACAAAAAGCAGGGCATATGGTTTTTCAGAAGTGCTTGGCATTGCCAGCAGTTCCTCTCACTGAAGTCAATCAGAATTGAGGGCTTTAGAGAATCTACGTGAAATCCCTGTGTTAAAAAAATTTTATCCTCTTCTTTGAGCTCTTGACTACTGGATTTTAGACAGTTCCATGGTTTATGAGGAGAAGAAGAGATGGACTGGCTTGGCTTTGATGTCTTTGGTATAAATCACCCCTTTCAGTTGAAACCCATGGGTCATTTGTGTGGCTACCTCAATTGCTTGTAAAGCTGACTTGGTATAGAAGCTTTTTGGTGTGCCTTTCACTTCTACAATTTCCCTTGCAAGGAGCTATGACTTTATGGTTTGTGGGACCAGGCTACCTTCTCTTGCAGTGGGAAGTCTAAGCCGTGGACTTCGCTGAAATCTTGTTAATTGGAAAGATCTGATGGGGAAAAAAATAAAGAAAACCTAGCCTGGGAAGAGTCCCCAAGGGTTACGTCACATAGAGCACTGGCCTACTGGGGGGACAGATCTCTGTGGGGTTTTACACTGTTCTCCTGCAATCAGTGATATAAATGAGCTGTACGTATGCCCAGATGCTGTTGTGTTTCCTGACTGGTCCTTTACCTGCTTTTTCAGCTGCTGCATGTCGTGTGCCTTGTTCTGCTGTAGCACAGCAGCTTTGCCTGTGTGACTCCCCCTTCCCATTCTGCATGATCTGCTGAATGTACTTATTGTGCATCCAGAAAAGGCTGAAATAGATGTTGATGGTTTTTGCTTCTTGTTTTTTCCCCTGTCCCTTTTTCTCTTGACAGTTTTTTATCATGCTGTTAATTATATTTCTGTTGGAGCTCACTGTTGTGATTCTGTTCTTCGTCTACAGCGACAAGGTAAGTCAGATTCTTCAATTTTCTTTCCCCTTCAGCAAATTTTTATGCCCCTTTTCCCTATAAATAAATCATGAAGTACTTGGCTTGGTATGCATATCATGCTTCTGTCTTCCTTGAGACACCCCTCTCAGAAGGAGCTCTCTCAGAATGCATAAACAGCCTTGCAGGACTGGGCTCTCTTGCTTGCTCATGTGTACAGCTCAAGGTCACAGATACTGCCAAGTACATCTGCCATTTAAAAAAAAAACAAACAAACCACAAGCTGAACAGTAAAAACCCCCACAATAAAAACTAAGAAGCCAACGAGCCTTACTGGGAAGATGTAGGAAGAGACACCCATCAGAATGATTTTTAAAAAATATGTGTACAATTTAAAAGCCACATTAATGTTGTTAAAAAGAAGGTGTCCTTAGCACAGGCAAGAGCACACAATTCGTTTTTTCCAAGTTGCTCCTTGTAGGACTAGGTTCTAGTAGAAAGCCAAGGTAAATGTATAAAAGTTTAATAAACAAATCTTTTCTTTGTTGTTTCAAATTTTACTTATGTTTGACCTTTGTTCCTGTGCTTACTTGGTATTTCTGTTGTAAGGGCAAGATTGCCTATCTGAATTATCTTTATCATTAAAATAATTTTTCTTTTAAACAAATCTTATATGAATAAACCCAAACCAAGGGCACAGTTGTGTGTAACCTGCCTATTCAATCAAGGTTGTCAAAGTCTCTTACAACTGAAGACTAAGGGAGCTTGAAAATCACAAGGTAGGTGGCAAAATTTTGCCATGAACTAACAGTCGTCAGGTAAATAACCAATAAACAACTTATTCTGAAATGGAAAGACAAAATAGCAAAAAATAAATACAAATCAAAATAACTGCACAAAATATCAAAATAAAATGAGGATTAACCGTACACCTGGTTATTTATATTCAGTATGTTTAGCAGTAACCTGGATGAGGAGTGGATGTCAACATCACTTTCTAGAAAGGCTCTGAATTAATTAATGAACACTGTCAGTGATTGTCAGGTGCACTTCTGGAGGACTGAAAAGAGCTAGGTTGCCGGATGGCGTGCTGTAGCTGGAACATGGAATTAACTTGCAAGGTAATTAAAGTAGAAGGGGCAATTTAAAATTACTTGTATGCATTATTGGATTCTGAATTACTTGTAAACTCTTGGGAGAAGGATCTACACGTCATATGTGACAGCTTAATAAAGACATCTACTTAATATGCAATGGGCCTCCAAAACCCAAATACAACACTTGGCTATATTTAGAAAGGGAATCGGTTAGAAAATGTTATCATTTCATTGTATAAATTAATGGATTTGCCTCACTGTGAATTTAATACTGAGTTTTGGTAACAGAACTGATTAAAAGTGCTAGGAAGGTGCAAGAGAAGAGTCATGAAGAAGGATTGGGGAGACTACCCTGATTCGGTTTGGGGAAGGAAAGAGATCCTCTGCTTAAGAGATTTTAAGAAAAGAAATTATAGCAGTTTCTAAACCAATGACATACTAAAGACCTGTCATGAACACAGAAGAAGTACTTGAAAATATTGAGTAGGTTTATAAGATAAGTGTTTCTTATGGTCCATGTCTTCAACTTGTTGCTGGCTGTTGTTGAAGCTGATAGTTTGATAAATGTGTGGGTATGAAGGAAAGAAAAAAACCCATGAAACATTTTTATATACAAAGAAATCAGTGCTGTTATGTTGACAACTGTGTCACAGAGAATGTTGGCCCTCACTCTTCAGAAGCAAAAAGTAGTGAAAAAGGGTCAGGAAGGATTCTCCCTCCCTCAGCCTGTTGGCTTGCAGTGGTTTTTATTTGTTCTTAATAAAGAGATCTGGGAGTTTAGCTTTCCTCTGAGTTGCACACTGAGGGTTGATGCAGGAGGTACACTGCAGCTGTCTGTAAGATCAAAACAGTCTCAAATATGGGCTCCAGTTCAAGTGCAGTTTGAGCTGAGAAATTGCTGTCGTCTGTGTATTGTGAATGATCAAATTTGAGGCTCTTAATGTTCCTGTATGATTTTAAATCCATGGTCTTATACTGAGGAAATTTCTGGTTTGTGTTATACTTACAGTCCTGCCTACAGAATAAATAAAACAGCAGCAGCCTAAAACTAGTATTTTCGTACAGCATATTTAGGATTTGTGTGCCAGCTTTCCTGATGTGAAGAACAGTATTGCCACGTGTACTGGTATGGGCAAGGAGCTAACCCAGAGCAGTCCACCACAGTAGTTCAGTTAATGCAGTTCCTTGGACAGTTACTGAAGGAACAATCTATGCTAACACTTGCACATCAGAAGAAAGTAACACTAATTTTGTGTGCATAATTAGGAGTGCTGCATGTACATGTAACATTTTTCCCAGGATAAAATGGGGGCCAATCTTTATTTTCTGTTTCTGGCTTGAAAAGAGGTTGAATAATGGACAGTTGATGAGAGAGTGGAATAGGCTGCCCAGAAAGGGGGGGAGTCCCCATCCCTGGGTGTGTTTAAGGGTCGTGTGGATGAGCTGTGGGGGGATGTGGGGTAGGGGAGAACTTTGTAGAGTCGGGCTGAGGGTTGGACTGGATCCCAAGGGGCTTTTCCAGCCTGAATGATTCTGTGATTCTGTGGACTCCCTTGCAGTTTTCATTTACTCCTGCTTTGTCAAGTGGAAAGACTGGAGTGGATACTTTGCCCCTTGCTACAAAGGTTAACCAATGCTCTTCTCTCTCTATGAAGCAGGGTGGTGTTTACCCTGCTCAGGTGGAGAATCAGGAGCTGAGACTTGCCCAAGATTCTGCAGGCAGCTGGGGCTGATTCTAAAGTTAGAGCTCTTGCTGGTTTGGCTGATGACGAGGGATCTGACAGACTGAGCTATGCCAGGTATTACAGCTGATTTAGCAGCAGTTTTCCAGTGAACAATGCCCAATTTATTCCTTCTACTGTAGGAGGGGCAGAGGATCAGGCTGATGCTTGCACCGTGGTGTCAGCCACAGGCAGGGTGTGTGTCCAGGTGTGTGCGGACACAACCCATGGGCTCCCAAGCTGTGAAGCCCTGTATCCATTGCTGGGACTGTTGCTTTAGTAGTGTGTTCATTATTAAAAAGCATCAAGACAGAAGATCTTTACAGCCATTCACAGGTAGGTTTTTGGCACAGCACTTCTATCCTTTAGCTGTGGAAGTGTGTGCAGTGGTGGGGGTGGACAGGACAGGCTGCTGGCACTCGAGGCAGCCTAGTCTGACCCGTTCTCATTCATCAGCTTGGGAGAAGCCCAAAAATTGCCTCTGCTTCTCGTGCTAGTGGCTTGGCAGCAGCCTCTCTGAGCTTTTAAGCAGCCAACTTGCTCCCATGCCCTCAAATGTCATCTTCCCTTTTCTTGAGGGAGAGATGTCTGCCTTGATCTGATGAGATAAATGCTGCCCTGGAGTTTGCAACTCTTTCTCTGAACTGGCTATGTGGTCTGATGTGGTAAAGAAAGACGGGGGCTTGGAGAGAGCTCAGGAATACATTGTGTGGGAAGGAAAAGGGGTAATGCCTTGTTTCTTGGAGCTGCACTGTGGATCTCTGCACTGTGGCCTGAGCTCACACTTTGTTCACTATTCCTCCACCTGGTTACATTGCAAAATATGAATCCCTTGAATTCTGCAGAAGTGAAATGTGGGCAGTGTGGGAATAGGATGAGGAAATGCATTACTACGGGATAGTTGTCAGAAAGAAGATGTAGTGCTTATATTTTGTCCTGGCCGCTCCCAGAGCAGCCATGACTGGTTCATAGGTTGTCTTCAGCTCAAAGTGGGCACCGGAGAGACTTGAGTCCTACTGGTGTTTGTGCACTTTCATATGCAAGTTCCCAAAGTGCAGCTTTTTTTTTTTTTTTTTTCTTCTTTGCAGGTGGAAATATCAGCCCAAGAGATGTGGGTGTTGAATGGAGTTTGTGTGATTATAAGCACTAGGACAGGTTGATATCACTCAGAGAGCACTATTTTTTCAGGCTAAATTTATGCTCCTGTTTGAAGCAGTCCAAACTCCAGTGACATTGCTAGAGTCATGTGAATGGTTATGGGAATGGCCACCCATCTATAGCTTGAATATTCTAATGTTTTATTTTAATTCCATTAAGATGGAGCAGCATTTGACTTTTTTTGTAAGTGGATCATTTCTATGTGAGGCTCTATATGTATTTATAAGAGATCCAAGGAGTACTGGGAAGGTTAACCTTAATTTTATTGTGATAAAGAGAAAGCAGCAGGGCCCAATCCTGTCAGAGACTGGACACTCCTTATATTTCTCAAACCAGATTGGACCCTGTTAGAATATAAATTATGATAATAAAATGCATAGTCTTGTACCAGTTCTAACTTGTATAATCCTTCTGGTTTTAGCATCTGTATTTATTTTTATTGTGATGATTCTCCTGGAGGCACAGAAAAAAAAAAGTCTATATTTACTTTTTTGCAGCTGTAATACATGTTTTTTTTCAGTAGGTTTGTTTGTTCAGTTGTCTGCATTTTTTTCTGATTTATGAACAGAGCTATGGTGCCGCTATTTAATGCCCACAAATGGAAGAACATAACTAAACCACCATAATGTGCTTTTTATTCTTTTCTTTTTGAAATGTTAAACTGAGTAACATAAGCCATTTTAAGGAACAAAAGCACTGAAGGATCACTGACTATGATATTTGATTATGGGAGCAGTTACTGCTATTGGCAACTCAAAGTTAAGACCAGAATTTTCAGTAAAGATTAAGGCCATTAACTCACTTGGGGTCCTTGTGAAAATTACAGCCTAAATTCCATGCCTGCTTAGCTGTGTTGAAAATGGCCCACAGAATGGTAGAGGATTGAAAAATAATGGCTACTTCTGTTTTTCATGAGATGTGTGAAAATGTTCTTGGTTTTTGTGTCGCAGTAAATTGTAATGAGTTCCTCTATAGCTTTTACTGCTAGCTTATAAAAAATATGGTGTGTAGATTGATGCATTTCTTGCTTTTTTTCTCTAAACAT